TCGGATCGTCGGCTTTTGGATCGATGCATCGATACAAAACGATTATTATTTACACCCCTAATTATTACCTTATCAAAATCAAGCATGATGTGGCATTTCACTTAATTAATGCCTGTTTGGGTAATCCTCATGAGTTCTACTGCCTGAGCTGCAGCCCCTCTCAGTCCAGTAAAACTAGCTATTGAAGAATATCTACGTTAGAATGCCGCTCCAAGAGGAACCAACCTTAGTGGTTTGTTCACACATTGAGAGAGAGGAGCGGTGATCACTACCGTGGAAACCAGCTGAACATTTCTGTGACGACACGGCAGCCAATCAGGGACTGGTTGTAGGTCTTCACTTAAAATGGAATACAGAGAAAATAATGTTATAAAACGATAGAAATAAAGATCGGAATATGTTTTTAGGAGACTTTAGATAAACGCTGTTTTAATTTATTCCTACATTTAGAAAGAATGTTAATCGTCCTCACTTATCTCCAGCTCAGACCCCGGTCTGTCATTGCCCACCGCCCAACATTCCTGCTGAATCAGAGCTGCGTCTGGATGAACCAAAGTGGACTTTTTTTTTTTCAGAGCTTTTGGATCTTTTCCAAAAATGTATGGTCTCCCCAAGAGCATTCAAAAGTTGTTCATAGAAAACTATTTAGCAGCTTTCAGTGGTGTTAAGTTTCACTTGTGCTTTCATTGTGAAATGCTGACAGCGAGACCTTGACAGGAAATGATGTAGGGTTGCCAGGGGTTACGGTAGGTCCACAGGGACGGGCACTGATCTCTATTTATTCACCGGATTTCTGATAGGCTGAAAAAGCTGAAGTCACCTGCTGCCATCTTGGTACTCCCCACTTTCACAGAGTCGCGCCATAAAAATGCCTTTAATGTAATATAATTACCATAACAATGTAATCAATACATTTATATTACATGTACATCATCAATTTGGCACTTTTGGCCCATCATTGTATTATTATACCTATGCTCCATTAAAACACTAATTTTGTAGCGATGGATTTCTATATGTTATATTACAGGATTTATAGACTTCATACTGACTATGCAATGCGATGCGCCTATTTTTTTTTTTACCATAAACTACAGTAATCTCATGATTCTATGAAACAGCCAGTCTGTGTCAAAGTGATGAATTTATCTTTTTTTTTAAGTATTAAGCCCCCCTGAAAATGAGAAAATCATCGTTGTTTGATGCTGTAGCGCACAAATTGTTTATATTGCGACCGGTCTAACTAGGGAGTACCAATATGGCGGCCGGTGGCTTCACTTTAACCCCGTGCTACTAACGGGCAATCAGCAATCCAGTGAATAGAGATCAGAGGGTCTGGGAGGCTTATGATTTACTAAATATCAAACAATCATTCCAGCCACTAAATAAGGTAAACATGCCCACTGTTATATTGATTACCAGCACAGGAAAGACATGTGATGATACGGAATAACTTCATATCAGGACTAACATCCACTGGGATGGTAATTAAAAAAAATCTTAAAAACCAGATAAGTGCAGAAAATAGTTTTACCTGCATAAAGGGACTAGAAAAAAAGTAGGCTACATAATTCTGATTCAATTTGGAGCTTAATGGGGGAAAGTTGACCTCTGGGTGACCTGAAAAATTATCTTTAAATCTCTGAAACAACAGTAGGACATTTTTTTTAAATGACCATTTTTAAAGCAGTATCCTGCACGAATGAAACAATGACCATTCAGTCTATTTGTTGAGTGTTTTTCATATCTGTGGGATTTTAGCTTCATGCAGCTGAAGCTCCTCCTATTTGATGATGTGGTCCAGGATGTAAACACTGTTCACCTGTAACGCAGAGCGGTAAACCACCTGCAGGTGTTGTGAAAACCGCCGCATTCAGCAATGTAAACAAACACCTGCTTTCTTCCATCAGGGAGGGTGAGGGTTTTATTTTATTATTTATTTCGACTCCTTTCTAACTTCCAGGCAACATAATTATGTTGTTTTTTATTTGAGATGAAAAGCATAAAATTTAAAAAATGAAACGCTCAAATTAAAAGATAAAGTAAAATAGTCTTTATTTCAGTTGTTATACGTTCCACTTTTGGATAGTCCTCAATACTTTTGACTTGGGGGGGGGGGGGGATTCATGGTACGAATAATTGCCCAAAGGTGAACACAAGTCAAAAAAGGTTTGGAAACACTGGTTTGCAGGTGCAACGCGGTCAAGGTAGGTTGCTTTCTTT